AGAAAGGCCCAGGGCAGGAGGGGCCGCGTATTCCGGGTGCGGGCTCGGAAGCAGCCGGGGCGAAAGGCAGCGGGCTCGGCGCGCTGGGGAAGGGGCGGCTCTGCCCGGCAGCTGATGCCGGCCCGGCGGCTCCCGAGGCCGGGATGCCTCCCCGGAGCCCTGGGCTTGCGGTTGCCCCTCAGGGCTCAATCACGCAGAAAGGCTGCCTAAAGTCTGTGTCCCCCGCAACAGCGGGACAATAGAGCCACCCTTCGGGTCACAGGTCACCTCCTCGCTGATTGAGATATTCGCCGCTTCCCCCACCCTCTCTGCTCCTCGGAGGCGTGGGGGGTTCTCAAAGGGGGCGGCCGGAGGGTGCGGGTGCTCTGGGCCGGGCCGGGGTGCCGAGGCCCCGGCTTCCCCCGCTGCCCGCTCGCGGGTCTGCCCTGTTCGTCCTTCTGACGGCTTAGCCAGCGGTAGGGGCTGGGGGACGTGAGGAGTGGGTGTCTTCCCCTTCCAGGGTGACTCCGGTGCGTGGGCACCCCAAGGCACAGGGAGCCGCCTCAGCTCCCCGCAGGGCTGCGACACCCGTTGTTCCCTACTCCTAGGTTTGCCTCGGCCCCATTTGGGCGACAGGACACAATTTATTCTGCAGGACTTGAACCGGTCCTCTTGGTTTTCCCTCTCGCTTCCGAGCCCGATGCATATTTCCCACGCAGCTAAACGGTGATCTTCATTTTAGGGGGGAAACTTCTCCCCATCACCACAAAACGAGCAACACACTCTCGGGCGAGGTGCGCGGGCGAGGCTGCCAGTGTCGGTGCCGGCCCGGCTCCCCGGGGTGCAGGATGGAGCCCGCTGGCACCTACGTTTCCTCGCCACTCCAGTCTTTCTGCCTGCCTCCGTCTGGCCTTTGATATTCCTCGCCCCCTCCCCTTGCCGAAGTTCAGACCTGTTTACTCCAGCCCGGATCTCTGAAGTTCAAATGTACATGTGCTTCCCCCTCCGCTGAGTGACAGCTACAATGGAAATGTCTCGTTCGCTCCTGGTTTGCATATAATTACATCGGAGATGCAATATGTTTATGGCAGGAGAAAAACTACTTGTCTTTACGCTTGTTAAGGATATTCATTTAACCGCGATACAGCGCGGTTTAAAAGCTCTTTAGGGTGGATGGAATATTCCCCTCGCCGCCGGCTCGCAGCTCAGCGCGAGGAGACTTTTGTTGCTGTTATCCCGGGTTTGTTCTGCCTTTTCCTCGCATCCTCGGTGTAAAGGACGAGGGAAATCCACGGAGCCACCGACCTGCCACTCCTGGGGCCGTTGCTGAAACTTCACCTGCCCCTGCCCCGCTGCAGATCTGCCGATACCAGCGGGCACCCGCTGGGCACCGCGTTTTCCTCCCGCGCTGGGGCCCAGCCCTCGCGTTCTCTCCCTGGCGAGGCTCCCCGGGCCGGGGACGGGGGGCAGCCTCCAGCCCGGGGGTCCCGGGCCAGCGCAGCACCGCGGGAAGCCTGGCAGGGGGCTCTGGGCACGGAGGGACCCGCAACGCTTTCCAGGGGGTTTTACTTTTTTGTAGCTCTTAAGTTCCAAAAGCACTCAAAAGGAAAAAAACAAAACAAAACAAAAAGGTGGGAGAACTGCACAATATTTGTTCTTGACGTAAAGCAGGGGGTCTTTCTCCGCCTTCCCCTCGCGTCGGGAGCACGGAGGGAAAAGGGAGCCTGGAGACTACTTTTCCGGTTGCTGTTGTTTTCACGTTTACAATTGAGATAGATTTTAAATGGAAGAGAGGAGAGGTACCCCGACTTCTGAAAAATGAATTGAATTTGGCCAGAAACACCGCTGAATAAAAATTGAAATTACTGAATTACTGATAAAGTACAAAATATATTTTATATATTTATATATATACACACATATATTCCGAAAGCTCAGCAAGGGAAAAACAATCATAGGCTATACGGACAATGCCTTAAAAACAAAAACAAAATACCCCCACCTCGTTTTATACACTTCTTGCTCCCCGAATTGGCAAATTCCAATCAGGAAGCGATGGGGTGTAAATAATGATAGAACGCCAGTGCGGATGCTGCCGGCTGAACACACCCAGGCAAAGTTGGCAGAGTAGAAGTGCGAAACGTATAAAAAGAGATTTATAGGTTAATTGATGTAGCCTGATCCGCAAGTACACAGCTGCTAGGCAGGCTGCGGCCACCAAACCGTCCCGAAACGGGGAGTCCTCGTCCAAAGCTACGATCGCTTTGTTTTTCTCCCCAGTCCCAAGCCCTCGGGATGTTTTTCTCGAAGCCCCGTTGTCGCGCAGTTGCCGACGCGGCGATATTTTTTTTAGGCGAAAAACAACTTAAATTTAATTTTTTTTAAAGCTTCTGCCGCCGTGGAGCCACACTCGCTCCTTCCCTCCGAGCCGGAGGGTTTCCCAGCGCACACCCACGCCTCCCCTCCCACGCCGCCCGCTCGGGGCAGCCGCGGCCCCGCGTGGCGTGGGCACCTGGGCGGGCACGGCCACCGCCACCGGCCCGGCCCGGCGCGTCCCACCCACCGGGGACACAGTGCCACACGTGAGGCCTCTGCACAAGCAGGGGTCAGTCGCCCTCGGTCGCTCCAGGTCGGCGACTTCAGAGGCGCTGCCCTCCCCGACGCTCAGCTGACGGGAATAATTGAATTTCCACCCCCCTCCCCCGGCCTTTTTTTTTTTTTTTTTTTTTTTTTTTTTTTTTTTTTTTTTTTTTCTCTCTCTCTCTTTTTAATTTTTATTGTGGAGTTGGTTGTTGTCGAGAAAACCCTACACGTGCGGGAGGTAATTAATGTCCCCGCCGCAGCGCTCCGGAGGCAGGCGGGGAGAGCCTCGGCGGAGCAGCGAGGGGTGCGGGCCTCGCCCCGCCGCCCCCGGGGCCGCAGCCTTGTGACCGGGGACCCCCGGCCCTGCCCCGGCTTCCCGGCGCCCCGGCTCGGGAACGGCTGCGGGAACGGCTGCGGCGCCGCCGGCGCGCTCGCCTCCCGCGGAACAGCCGCGGGGCAGCGGGGAGCAGAAGAGGCGGCCCCGACCGCCCCGGGGGGTGCCCCGGTGGGTCTCCCGGTGGGTGTTCCCGGTGGGTGCCCAGCAGGGTGCCCCGGTGGGTGCCCCCGGTAGGTGTCCCCGATGGGTGTCCCCGATGGGTGCCCCCGGTGGGTGTTCCCGGTGGGTGCCCCGCAGGGTGCCCCCGATGGGTGTCCCCGATGGGTTCCCCGATGGGTGTCCCGGTAGGTGTCCCCGATGGGTGCCCCCGGTGGGTGTTCCCGGTGGGTGCCCAGCAGGGTGCCCCGGTAGGTGTCCCCTGTAGGTGTCCCGGATGGGTGCCCCCGATGGGTGCCCCCGGTGGGTGTCCCCGATGGGTGCCCCCGGTGGATGTCCCGGTAGGTGCCCCCGGTGGGTGTCCCGGTGGGTGCCCCCCCGGGCGGGTCCCCGCGCTCCCGCCTCCTGCTCTGCTGCGATCGTGCACCAACGGCAGCGGCGGACTCACCTTCCAACTTTGGGACTGTTCTTGGCGGCTGTGGCCTGGGAAATTTGAGTGTTTGACGGGTACCGGTGTTATCTCTCGGGGAGATTTTATATCGGTGGCTTTTTTTTCTTCCCCTTTCTTTCTTATTTTTTTTCCCTCTCTCTCCCTTTTTTCTTTCTTTTTTTTTTTTTTTTTAATTTTTTTTACTCGCTCCCTGCAAACCTTAAAATAAAGAAGACGAAGCCTTTCCCGGGGCTGATTGGGGGGAAGAATGTGAAAGGGCCGCGGTTATAAAGCGCTGCTTGAAGCAGGCTCTCAATGCGTCTCTGAACTTGATCAGATTTTACGTTTCCTGCAGAGAGCCGGCGGCGAGCCTGAGACCTGCCCAATAGCCAGACTTGGGGGCTCAGCAAACCTCAGGATATTACAATTACAGCCATCTTTCTTTCTGCCTTTTATTTTCACTCTTGCTCCCCATAGTTCTTTGCAAATGCTTTCCAGAACAGAAAATGAGTGGATTTATAGCGCTGTCTGCAACTGATAATTGTTCCAAGGCAGAACGTTTCCCTTGCAAAATACAATTTAAAAAATAAGAATTTAAAAAAAAAAAAAGAGAGAAAGAAAGATGGAAAAAATGAGAAAGAGAAATAGAGAAATAAAGAAGGAAAAATAAAAAAAAAAGAATAAACGGGAGTACGAAAGAGGCAGCTGGAGCCGGCGTGCCGGGCGCTCGGCTTTTTTTTAAGGCTGGGGCTCCGGGCTGGGGCTCCGGGCTCGGGGCTGGACGCGGCCGGGGGGCTCGCCCCGGCCCGGTGACGCTCGCACCGAGGCTGGGGGCAGGAGCGGGCTCGCCGCGCACAGTGCGGGCGGCTCTGCTGCCGCGTTTAGTCAGCAAAGATAAAAATGAATAGACAAACAGAACAAATACATAAAGTGTATGTGATTATATATATATATGTATGTATGTATACATGAATAAACTGCAAAAAGCCTCGGCTTTATTTTTTTTTTTTTCTTAATTAAATTTTATTTTTGAATCAACGCGGCGGCTTTGCAGCGGCTTTACGCCTCCCCGCCGCGCCGCGTGGGGCGAGCATCCCCCACGGCGTGGGGCGGCGCTGGCAGGGCACGGGCGGCGGGACACGCGGGACCCCATTGGCGCGGCGCGGCCTGGCCCGGGGTTGGTTTATGTGCGAGGCGCGGACGGGCGCCCCGTCAGTGCCCCGACGGCGCCGAGCGGGAGCGCGGCCGCCCCGCGCCTCCTCGCCCTGCTGCGCCGCCCTGCCCGGCCCGGCGCGGGGGGCGGGTGGCTGTTTTGGGTTTTGTGGTTTTGTTTCTGGGTTTTTTTGGGTTTTTTTTTGTTGGCTTTTTTGTTTTGTTTTGCTTTTGGTGTCGGCCGGGGGGTGCTCGCCTCGCTGCCCGCCCGCGGCCGGGACCGCGCCTGCCCGCAGCGGGGGGCGGAGTGGGGGTGCACTTTGGGGTGGTTTTGTACTTTTTTGGGGGCGGGCGGGCGGGAGGAGGGGGGGCGGGCAGGCTGCCGCCGCGCCGACGGCCCCGCGCCCATGACGATGCTGCTGGACGGAGGGCCGCAGTTCCCGGCGCTGGGGGTGGGCGGCTTTGCGGCGCCCCGCCACCACGAGATGCCGGGTCGCGACGCCGCCGCCGGCGGCATGGGGCTGGGCCCCTTCGGGGACTCTTCGCACGCCGCCGCCTTCAAGCTGAACGCGGCCCCGCACGACCTCGCCGCCGGGCAGAGCTCGGCGTTCACGCCGCAGGCGCCGGGCTACGCCAGCGCCCTGGGCCACCACCACCATCACCACCACCACGCCGGCCAGGTGCCCTCCTACGGCGGGGCCGCCGCCTTCAACTCCACCCGCGACTTTCTGTTCCGCAACCGCGGCTCCGGCATCGCGGACGCCGCCTCCGGCACAGCGCAGCACGGGCTCTTCGGCGGCTCCCCCGGCGGCTTGCACGGCCCCGGCGGCATCCCGGACACCCCGGGCTACCTGCTCTTCCCGGGGCTGCACGAGCAGAGCCCGAGCCACACGTCCCCCAACGGGCATGTGGACAACGGGCAGATGCACCTGGGGCTGCGCGGGGACCTCTTCGGGCGGCCGGATCCCTACCGGGCCGTCTCCAGCCCCCGCACGGACCCTTACGCCGGCGCCCAGTTCCACAACTACAACCACATGAATATGAATATGGGCATGAACGTGGCGGCCCACCACCACCACCACCACCACCACCACGGCCCCGGCGCTTTCTTTCGGTACATGCGCCAGCCCATCAAGCAAGAATTGTCCTGCAAGTGGCTCGATGAGAGCCAGCTCAGCCGGCCTAAGAAGAGCTGCGACAGGACTTTCAGCACCATGCACGAGCTGGTGACCCATGTCACCATGGAGCACGTCGGGGGGCCGGAGCAGAACAACCACATCTGCTACTGGGACGAGTGTCCGCGGGAAGGCAAGTCCTTCAAGGCGAAATACAAACTGGTGAACCACATTCGGGTGCACACGGGGGAAAAGCCCTTCCCGTGCCCCTTCCCGGGCTGCGGCAAGATCTTTGCCCGCTCCGAGAACCTCAAGATTCACAAGCGGACGCACACAGGTGAGGCCCGTGTGCGTGCGTTCCCCGCCCGGGACGGGGGCTCGGGGGGCTGCGGGGACGGGCTGGGCCCCCGGCCGCCGGCGCGGCGCTGCCTCCGGAGCGGAGGGAACCATAGAAATGCTAATGAAATCTCATTTTCGGTGACTTCCGCTCCTTTTTTATTTTTATTTTTAGGCCAGATTGGCGCCTCTTCTCATTAAATCGGTGATACTTTTGTCAAAGTATTTTTATTTGCAGCCCCGACTTTCCTTCAGCCCTCCTGCATGGGTGGAGGGAAGAGAGGGGGAAGGCTGGAAGCAAACGTACTTTGGCTTGTATCCTCGAGTAGGTCTTGTAAAGCTGTCCGAGCCGCTGAATTTATCTCGGGTCTTCTCCTTTCCCAAGCTCGCCCAGCCGCCTTCCCTGCTGGAGCCCAGCGTGGGCCTGGCGGGAGGTGAGTTAAAAGTCATAAAGGCTGATCCAAATTTATCCGACACGTAACAAATCTTGCTGTCCATCTTCCCCTTCTTCATTTGTTGTGGTGCTTGTGCATCCATAAGGTGGGGCGAGCAGGGCAGATGCTGTCCTGGGAGGAGGCGGGTGGGGATGGAGAGGGGAACGGCCCTCCTTCACCCTCTCTAAATTTACAGGTGAGAAGCCTTTCAAGTGCGAGTTTGAGGGCTGCGACAGGCGCTTCGCCAACAGCAGTGACAGGAAGAAACACATGCACGTCCACACCTCGGACAAGCCCTACATCTGCAAGGTGTGCGACAAATCCTACACCCACCCCAGCTCACTTAGGAAACACATGAAGGTAAATCACCCCAGTGCTCCAGCCCTTTCCCCCCTGAGCAGTGATGCTCAGTCGCTGGTGTGCTCAGGGCTCGTTCCCCCAGAGCAGGGCAGAGCTGAGCTCCGTGCTCCCAGCGCGGCCCGAGCCGTGGCTGGAGCACAGCCCGGGGAAATGGCGTAGTTTCTCTCCGTGCTGCCTCTGGTGCAAGCTCTGCCCGGGTTGCGGAGCGTGGCTCAGTGCGGGGAGGCTGTGCAAGTGCAGCGTGGCCTGTGGCTGCAGCCGGGATGCCGCCGCAGTGTCCGGGCCCCGGCAGGCGTTGGGCGCCGCTGCTCAGCGGCCGGCCGGGCACGGGCTGCCTGATGCCGGGCAGGGCCGAGCCGCTGCTCCCTCCTGCACGGAGGAACAGCCCAGCGGCGTGGCGGAGGCCCCGAGCTCGCTCCCATCTCTGCCTCTTGGTTTTAGGTGCACGAATCCCAGGGCTCGGACTCTTCCCCTGCAGCCAGCTCGGGGTACGAGTCCTCCACCCCCCCTGCGGTGGGCTCCGCCGGCAGTAAGGACTCCACTAAAACGCCGCCGGCCGCCCTGCAGAGTAACCCCGGCCATAACCCTGGACTGCCCCCCAATTTTAATGAGTGGTATGTGTGAAGGCAGCTGCTGCCCGGCCACAGACTGGACCAAATGCATAGGGAACGAGGAAAAAAAAGAGGACAAACCAAGCCAACTGCAGCTCGCTCCCACGGAAATGGAGTTTCCACACCGACGACCGCATAGGGCTACACCTACTTAACTGCCAGGATGCGGAGGGGGGTCTTTTATTATTATATTATAATTATTACTGTTTTTTGGTTTTTTTTTTCAAGCCCAGACGCTGGACTAGCCATGTCCTTTTCTCAGGATTAGATTTATTTTTTTTTGTTGCCATTTTTTTTTAGTCTCAGTCGTTTCTTTGATTTTCACCACCCCCCCCCTTGCCTGAGTCTCTCTTCCTCCAATTCCCCACTTATTTTATTTTTAATTTTTTTTTCTTTCTTTCGGTGGGATGTTGACATAAGGATGAAAATTCTCCTTCGCCTTAGTGGTGATTGTTTAAACTTACAGTCTTAAACCGTGCCAAAGTCCTGTTATGTCTTGAACTTTCCTTTCTAGCTCTCCTGCTGCTTCTTTCTCTGCTCTTCTCTTTCTCCTTCTCTCTCCAAGCATTACACTTGTGAATGTATTCTCGTCTGATGGGGTCGGTCAGTATTTTTCAGGATGAGGATGTGGTGTTTATTCTGCCCAGATTGTGACGTTTAGTATAACAGTTGCCTTTTTGTAATAACTTTTTTTGTAAATACATACCCATGATGCCATATTTATCGTTCGTAATTTAATTATTGATACAAAGTGCCGGGAACTGAACAATATTTATGGGGGAGAAAAAATTGTTTTCTAACAAAAAAATACAAACAAACAAAAAATTCAACTCTGTACAGCTTTTGGTTATAACTGCTTTAGCATTAAAAGTTTATTGTTTTGGAAAGAGCCGTTTTTGACCTCCTCCGGGGCACGGGGCAGCCGCGGGTCCCGTGGCGGGCCCGGATGGCGCTGCCAGCGGGGCCGGGCCGTTGTTTTCGAGCCGGGGGAAGCCCCCTCCTCGCTCCTCGCCGCCGCTCTCCCTCCTGTCCCTTTGTCCCCGCCCTCCGCCCGGCGCTTCGCTCCCCGCCGGCTTCCCGAGCGGGCCGAGGTCGGGGCACGGCGCCGGCGAGGTGGAGCAGCCCCGGGGACAGCGGGGCCGCCTCGACGGGGCGGTCCCGACGGTGAGTACCGGCCGAGTACCCGGTGAGTACCGGGCCGAGCGGAGCCGCGCTTGGGGCAGCGCGGCGTGTGGGGCCGGGCAGTCGTTCCCGCCGACACCGGGGGGCCCGGGCGACCGAGCGGCGGGCAGGACTGTCTCCGTTATCGTCTGGTTTGTTTTGTTCTGTTTTTATTTCTGACTAGGATGCGGAAAAGTCTTCCCGTCTTCAGGAGAGAAGAAGGATAGAGATCAAACATCTCCCCCGAGAAACTTCTCGGCGTCGCACAGGAGCCCCAAGCGACGGTGGAAGCCGCCCTCCCCGGCACATCGTGGCGCACCCGCGGGCCGGAGGGCGCCGGCTGTCGGGCGGGCGGGCCGGGGCTGCGGCGGGAGCGCCACGGCCTCGTGGCCCGGCGGAGCTTGGCCGGCCCGGCCGCTCGGCTCCGCAGCCTCATCCGGCAGCAGGGACGTGCTGCGGGCTGAGCCCGGCCCCGGGGCAGGCGGGGAGCCGCACTACGGCCGCCGCCCCTTCGCTGACCGGGGGCACCCCACACCGGCCCGTCTTGAACTTGACTGGGGGCACAGTGGAAGGACGGGGGTGGCCCATCCTCTCCGCTTGCCGCAGGGGCCGCTCGGGCGAGCAGCCCGCGGAACCTTGCAAATTTGCAAATATAAATTTGAAATTTACATTTGAGCAAATTTACCCTCTTCTTCCTCCAAAGTTAGGGGGGGAAAAAAAAAAAAGGAAGAAAGGTTTCTCGGGCAGAAAAGGACAGGAGAAAGGTGGATTGCAGCCTCTGCAGCTGCACAGCTAAAACAAAAAAAAAAAAAAATGTCCCTGAGCTCCCCACTGGCCCCTTAAAATAGTTCCCTTCGAGGTGTCCCAGCTAGACATGGATGTCTGCTTCTCTTTTGCTGTGAAGTCTTTCTCTCGCTGCGCGCAGAGCCCGGCCCGGGGCTGGACGCGGAGCGCTGCGGGCCCGGTCCGTCCGGGGGGCGAGCGGGACCGCCCTGCACCGCGCCGCGCGAGGAGCAGCGGAGCCGCCGCGGCCGTCGGGTTTTCCTCGGACACCCACCTGGGTCGTGTCTGCGTTGCTCCGGACCGCGCCAGGCTCGGAAAAGGTGCCGGTAGGCTCGGTTTCGTTACTGCTTTGCTCGGAGCCGGGGAGGCGCGGGGCGCGCAGGGCTCCGCGGGAGCGCCTCGGGGCGGGTGCTGCTGCTGTCGGGCCCGAAGCGCCGTCCCAGAGTGGGGGCCTCTGCTGAGGTTGTCCGGCTTGGGGAGCCGTGGCCGGGAGGATGTAGCGTCTCCGACCCCGGAGTAGCGGCCCCGCTGCAGGATCAGTGCAGGGGCCGCTTCTGGCCCCACAGTGTCTCTGGCTGGTCCCCGGGGCTTGGGGCCGTGCGGGCAAAGCTGCACTCCTGCCTGCCCCCGCAGGTGCTTCCTTCAGCTGGCAGCACTGCCCCTGCCATTTTTATAGCCAGGACTTAAAACCAGCGTCCTGGCTCATTTGGCTTCCCTGGTGTCACAGCCTGTCCCCCACCCTCGGGCCTCCCCATCCAGACGGGGCTTGCAGCCAGTTTGCAGAAGAGTGGAGCAAACTGTTGAGTGCACCCCACTGAGGTCCCGGGCCCCCTAGGCCATTCTGCAGTGCTCCAAAAACGGGGCATGGATTGGGCAGGTGCAGCTCTGTGTGTGTGTATGGTACGAGATGAAGCAGTGGATTTGGGGTGGGTATCGAGAGGGCTGGGGCCCTGCTAGGCTCTGAAACGCTTTCGAAGCACAGGGCTCAGCACCGTGAGGTGGGGCGGGAGGGCCGTGCCTCCCGAGCACGGAGCCGTGTGCTGGTGGGTGCTGGTGCCAGCGCCTCTGCCCCACCAGCTGCTCTGGCTCACACTTGGGACTGACGCCAGAGAACGGCTGTCTCTCCTGCGGCCTCTGCTTTCATGGACAAGTAAGAAGGGTTTTGTTTTTTTTTTTGTAAAAAGAGGTAAAAAGTCCCTGTTCCTTATCCTTGCCATTGCAGGGAGATACGGAGAGTTCTAGAATGGGAAATATCCTCTGTCCTGGATGTCTTAGGCTGGTTTTGTGAGTTGGGGAGAGACAGCTCATGATTTTCAAAGCCTGGCAATGGAGACCTGTGCTCAGAGCTTGGACAAAAACATTACAAAGCTGACCAGGGCAGGACAGTACTGACAGGGCAGGTGCCCTGTTAGCTCAGCTTCTAGTGTGTCAGGAAAAGGGGACTTGTGTCACAGCCCAGAAGAGTCCCAGGACTGTTCACAAGCAGGGGACATGTTCTGCTGGCCTCTCCCAGCTAGCAGCTCTCTTGCAGTTGCTGTGCTTGCTTGTATGAGCGGGATTAGGTGGATTTGTCCCCAGATAAACACAACTCGGGATGGTTTTCTTAAAGGGGTAATGTTGATTCATTGTGCTATAAGGAATCTAAGCAGGGGCAGGCGATGAACTGGAGCCATTCCATCTCTACCATGCTTTATGAGCCATGAACATTTTGATTCCTTTGGTATCATTGTTTTTGCATATCTGTCTGTGTCTGGTGTAATCCTCTGAAAAAAATTTTTGTTTTCAAGCATTGTGCCTGCCATTAGCATGTAGTGGTTGCACGCTGTGTGAAGGCAGAGTCCTGAAGGCGTTTTGATCAGGTTGTGTTCAAGTGTCTCGGCCTTACAGCATCAGGAATTAAGTTTCTATAACAAATCTGCTTGCTGTAAAGCTCCAAAGCAGTGGATAGGGTGTAGTATTGTGTGTTTGCATTTTATTTTTTTTAATATTCTCAGATTAAAAGCATCATATACTAGCACCAGCTTTTTTAACTGAGCGTAACTTTGACAATTGTTTGCTAAACCATCCCTGCTATTTATGCTTGTTACTGTGATGACCTGTAAGGAAGATATTTCTGCAGAGATGCACTCCTGGTTTGGAGAGGTGAAATTCCAGAGAAAGCGTGTATTCTTTGAGAAATCTAATTTTATAATGGAGCATGCAGAAGGAAATAGTTTGTATTGTAGTGACTAATCTGTACATCCCCTGAACGAAGACATTTAGTTAACCTTTCTATGCTGTTTGTATGGGATAAAAATATAATTTGTCTTGCTAATGCCTGCTCACCTGAACATAACTGCAGGCAGTAAAAATGCTTTTGTGAGAGCTTAGGACGGTGAGTGAGAATGGCAAAGCAAGGCCCTGCCCTACAGACCTGATAGGAGATGGTTTAGGATGGCTTTACAGACATCTGTTCTGTTCTAGTCATGGAAAAACCCCCTGCAGAATCCGGAGGAGGCAGTTGTCAAAAGAGGCGCAGATGTGTTTTAATATTTAGATGCTAATTTTATTCTCAGTAAAGAAGGTTGTGTGCTGCTTAGGTTTTCTTTTAGCTGATACTTTGGTAATGTTTCTCCATTTCAAATGTTTGTGTGAAAAGAGACTTTAATAAAAAGAGCTGGGAAAAAAAAGAGTTTAGCTGAATGATTTTGTTTTGGCAACTTGTTCAATAGTGGCAGCTTTGAAATTGTCAAGGCTCGACTTTGAAATGAGCGATACGTGGAGTTTGTTTTGAGGGAGATGCAGCCTGCACGTTGGGGATTCATTCCTGTGCGCGCTGGGCAAGGTATCCTGACTGGGACAGGGACACAGAGGGGAAAAGTCACTGGCAGTGCTGCTGGCCGGCAAGAGGCTGGGGCAGCTGGAGAGCCTCGTGCCCGAGGATCGCAAAGGCTACGTGCAGAACAGGGCTCTTTCCTTGTTTTTGTTGTTTTTCAGAGCATCGTGTAATCCAGTCTAGGCCCGTGGGGGTTCTGTGGCTACAAAATGGCTCCTGGCAGGGCTCTGGGCAGCGGGCACACACCTCGCGGGGCTGGCAGCCCCGGCCCTCCTGGGCCGCCCCGGCGCCTCTGTGGGGCCGTGCCCGAGCTGGACAGGGGCAGCAGGGGTGGGGAGCCTCGGCAGGTTCGGTGAGGGGAAGTGTTTTTCTCGGCAGCTCTGTGGGGCTGTGCCCGGGCTGGACAGGGGCAGCAGGGGTGGGGAGCCTCGGCAGGTTCGGTGAGGGGAAGTGTTTTTCGCGGCAGCTCTGTGGGGCCGTGCCCGGGCAGGTGCGGGTGTGCGCTCGGGCGCTGCGG